GGGCTGATTTCTTGGCATGATTGTATCTTTCCTTGTATGGCTTGCACTTCAGATTTTTACCACAGCATTGGTAAAAGACCCAGGAAAATAAACCCCAGTAACTCTTAGGTGACTGACGCAGTGATCGAACATAAAGTAGTAGAGAAAGATACCAGATGTTGGGAAGAAGATTTCTGAGTTAGCATTTTATTCATACCCTGTAGGTGCTTAGACAAGCAACAATTGTTAAAAACACTCTAGAAAGGAATGGACTACATGGTTTTTTGTCTGTGCACTCAAAAATAAGTGCTTAATTTGTTCTCTTAGCTATTCTGCAAATGCATATAATGCGTACTGCTCACTATGACGATAGACACTAATTCCATTTTTATACCATTACTCACATTCCAGGGAGACATCTACAAGCTCAGTCTATGCCTCCAGGTGCTCACGAGTTGCCTTCACCAGTTATTTCCAGTGTCAGAACACAGAAATAGCCCAAGTCAAACACACAGGCTTGTGCACCAAGATCTGCATGGTGATTGATAACTTCCAAAGAAACCTCACTGTAAATTCTGTATCCAGCGGTGCTTTCTGATCGCTGTACATCGACTGAGAAGCATGGCCCCTCTCCCTGCTGTTGGTAATGACTCGTGCTGTGATGCTTCTACCTTAGGGACTTACTTGGCATTAATCTTCTGTATATGCTCCACGCCTGCCTATCCTACCGATGTTGTATAGGCATTGCTGGCTGTATATAGTCATCTACAGAGCCTAGGGGACTGTCAAGACTCATTAGGGAGAACTTATCTACTCAGCTGGGAAGGACTGATCTGTGCTTGAAACCAGCAGGAGTCCTTCCACTGATTTAACAGAACTTGGTTCAGACATCCACCTTTTCTCCTGCGAGCGAGTTATTATTGATATGACTTAATCTTTTAAGATCCATCCTTGTGTGTGAAAACTTTCAGGGATGAAATTATTTTTTCTAGTCTAGGGGCAGCTTTTTGATACTAGAAACAAATCAATTGCCTGAGTAACTAAGCAATGTTTTTCAAATAAAAGCTCAAATTCTACAAACTGTGCTAACAGAAGCTGGACAGTTTGCATGGGAAAAGACTCTAGCATATGACTGCTAGGCTGCTTGTTTGTTTGCTCTCTGGCCCAGAGTCTGCTGGGCACTTCTGATCCAGCTCTGAGTGTTATTGCGTAAACATGCAAGCAGAACTCCTTTTCCACGCTCTTCACACCTTGCCATTCACAGCGCTGTGTGGTGCCGGATGCTGCAGGCCATGACACGGCTTGGGCAAAGATTATTCTCAACAGCAGAATGAATGAATAAGCTTTTAATGAAAATTGATTTGAAACTAACTGAAGAAAGAAATTAAAACTGGGGAAACCAAGCAAGGTAGCAGGATGGAGCTGGAAGTGATCTGGCCCCATTCAGCTGAGCGGGCCATGGCAACGGCAGCCCACCCCAGACTGGCTGGTGACACCTGTCTGGCTGCTCCCTGCCAGGAGCTGCAGAGTTGTTAATTCATCCTTGGCTTGGTGGGCAGTTCTTCCCCCTCCAGTTTCTCTCCCTGCTCACTTGGCTTGGGCCTGGAAATTCTTGCTTCTTTTGCCACTGGCAGTGCCACACCAGCCCAAGCTGCAGTGTTGGTTGTTACTGCGCTCTCAGCACTCTCAGGGTGGTCAGGAGATGTGTGCAGCTTGCTGGAAACTTGGGGAATCAGCGAGCGGCTGGCAGAGATTTCCTCTCCAGCACAAGCCTGGCAGACGTACCTGCTGGGCCTACCTAGTCCTGTCTGGCTCAGTTCTAATGACAGGCTCTGCAGTGTGGTTGAAACGACCACAAAACAGCGCTCCACCAGCATGCAAAGCCTGTCAGGGGAGCATTGCTCCAGCAGTGTCAGGTCAGGAGTCCTGCTATTGTAGGTAGCAATCTTTTGCCACACAAATGTAGGAGAGAAAAATATGAAAAGGAGTTTCTCTTTCTCTACTGCTGATTTCTTTTTTCTCAGCCAACTACTTTTGAATTGTAGAAAAAGGTTTCATAATGCTGAACAGATCCTGCTTAGCATCTTGGAAACATCAAAATGGGGACTTTTTCCAATAAGTTCCCTTTCTCACAGAGGATCCTTTGACTTGCTCAGAGCACAACATACAAGGGAACTGAACAGAAGAGAAACAACATAAGCAAAATGGAAGCTCCATATTTAGCTTTCCATTAGACAGCTTGACAAAAGACAGCATTTCATCTGCAAAAAGTGGCACTTGACTGATTTCCCATTGACTCCTTAGGTGTATTTTGTAATGAGATCCCTGACTCCTAGAAGGGATGTGGAAAAATTGCCCTGCTTGAAGCATAACACTGGTGAAGGAAATTTCATAGAATGGTTTGGGATGGAAAGGACCTTAAAGATCATGTAGTTCCAACCCTCTGCCATGGGCAGGGACACCTTCCACTAGACTAGGTTGCTCAAAACCTCATCCAGCTTGGCCTTGAACACTTCCAGGGAGGGGGCATCCACAGTTTCTCTGGGCAACCCCTTCCAGTGCCTCACCACCCTCACAGTGAAAAATTTCTTCCTTATATCTAATCTAAATCTTCCCTCTTCCAGTTTAAAGCCATTACCCCTTGTCCTATCACTATGTGCCTTTGTAAAAACTCCCTTCCCAGCTTTCTTGTAGGACTGTAAATTTGGTTGTCAAGTGAAAAGCAAGAAGCTAATGTTAAAAAAGCTGGACAAGTGAAGGTTTTGAAGTGCACCTTTGTGTGCTGTCTCTAACAAGCTAACAAAAGCCAGGTCCTGTGGGTTCAGTCCCACAAGTCACATTCTGACCTTGTGGAAATCATGGGTCTTCTCCCAAAAAAGTCCTTTCTAGTCACTAAAAACATGTCTAAATATTCACCTGCCTCATACAGTCTTGTGAGCAAGGACAGGTTTTGAAAGCCATAGTAGAGCACACTGTGGTTTGCTCATTCCCAGAAGTCACTGGCTTTTGTTGCTGGCATTTGAGTAAATGAGGCATCTGGTTCCAGGTGAGAAAATGCAGCAGAATCTGGCCCTCCATATAGTGAGAGGTAATATATTGAGCATCTGATATTTTTCCTGCATTTCTAATTTAATATACTTACAGCTAGTGTGCCCTGTCCCAAGTTCTGTTTGTATTTTCCTCTAAATGCTAGCCTTTGCAGTGCTAGAGTCTCGCAGCAGCTGACACTATACTTGTGGTCTGACAGGGACAGAATTAAACCAGCCAAACTGTAATTTCTAAAGATAAAGATCAGAGTAGGTGGTGTCATTTCATACTTTCTTAGTTTCCCTAATCACTTTTGGCTGAGTATCCTTGGTGGGGGAAAAAAAAGAAAAGCTTTCACTTCTCAAAAGGCTCTGTGTGAAGGGACACCAGGGTTGTCTACTAAGTTCAGATGACAAGATTCACATCCCTAGGGCCCGATGCTCCCTGCTGTGTAGGAGTCAAGAATTTCATCGGGATGGATCGATCTTTTGCCTTGAAAGCTAACAGCTCATGCAGATTGAGACAGGGAAGCTACTAGCTTACCAGACAGGCTCACAGCAGCCTTTGGATTAAATGTTAAATAAAGAAAACTTGGTTTTCTGTCACTTTTATTAACAGAACTTGGTTTTAAAATAAAATATACTACAGCAATGCCATCAATACCTCAGTAAGAGTACTCAATTGAGAGGTATTTACCTCAAACCTGCTCTAGAAGGAATAACTTTTTCAGATAACTGAGATATACATTAAATGACCGCACTAAAGTCTAAGCATAAGCTGCACTGAGAAAAGTAGAACTGGTGTTTTGCAAGCTCCATAGAAACTAAATTGAAAGCCAGCACTGTTTGGATAGCCACCGGGTAACTTGCTCTTTAGCCCTATCATGTCACAGCAAATTCACCAGCGTGAGGAAAGCATTTGTTTCATTGCTGAGTAGTTTCCATGGCAGTGGGAAATGGCTTCCTGAGCAACGCACAGTTACAGACTCAACATGGGGTCTCTGCAGTTCTCAAGCACTTTGCCATGATTAATTCCAATGGAGCCAGGTCTTAACAGGCACTTGTGTCAGGAGTTGAACAAGAGCAGCACCTCTTCACAGGAATTATTCAGCATCACACAAAACACAGAGCTATTATTTTTATGCCAAGAAATAGCTCCCAGACTTGAAGTCTCGCAAGCTCAGAATTTTCTTTTTTAATTAAAAAAACCCCTTAGCTCTTCACTACCTTAACTGCAGGTATTGGGCTCCTGCAATTGGATCCACAGTGTATGTTCGTAGTTATGGATCCTTTACAACAGAGGGGTAGAGCTGGGCTTCAGAGATCCTCAACATTTAGCATGCTGACCAGCAAAATGCCTCACTTAAGCTTTGCAAAGTCATGTGAGTAAGAAGGGGTGTGAATCTCTACCAGCTGACTGACTCGGGCACTTTATTTTGCTCTCTCTCCAGTTAGGACTGTACCAAGGAAAGGCAACCATTGTTTCCTTTGACCTCAAAACTGAATAGGGCTGACTGCTAAAGAAAGCAGTATCAGGAAGAGGAATTTCTGCCCTCCTTCCTAGTTTATATTGAAAAAATTCACTTCTCCCAGAGGAAGGCCCTGTTTCCATTCCCTCCTCTGCTGAGATGACTGAAACCTTCCTGCTGTAGGAAAGCCACATTCCCTATTTTCCTGGGATATTTTTGTCTTATCGATCTTTGTGAAAACTGGAGCCTTCAAGGGTTCTCAAACTGAGCACTTGAAAGGTGAAGGAACTGAAAAATCCCAGTCATTTCTGAAAGTTTAATAGTTCCTTGGTTCTTTCTGGTTTACATGTTAAAAATGAAATAATGTACATTTTTTTGATAGTAGCAGATATTGGAGAAAAAGATACATTTCTTACACATGCCTTCCCTATAAATGTATTTCATATATAGTTTGTATCATGCCGATATAAAGGACAGATCTTATTGAATCAGCCTTGCCTGTGATGGGGGATATGTTGGCAAATATTTACTTTGTGTGGGAAACTGCAAGCTCTACTCTGTTCCACAGCAGTAGGAAATCTTGTATAACTGCTGGCATTCTTGAGAGCGGATTCCAAAACAACTTAGCATCCTGCCCGACAATGTAATGGGCATGTGGATGGAGGCCTGTTAGGGCATGCTCCATGCACTGAACAACCGGTGAAATGTCCTCGTTAAGACAGATCTTGGACAGCTTTTGTTTCTTTGCTGCATCTGTAAAGCTCAAAAAAAGAAGACCATTTAGTGACAGCCAGGCAAGGTGACTTTTAATTCTTCCCCCCAACACTGATCTGTGCAGTTTGTAGCAGTTTCTGAGGACCAAGTACCCATCCATAATGACCTTGTGATATAGTTGACCCCAAGGGCAGTCTAGTTACCCTTAATTGTGAAACAGTCATGGCAAAACTGAGCCTGTATGGTCTGAGGACAGGCAACCAGCATTGACAGTAGCTCAGAATAAACATAACTATATAAGAGGCAAAAGGAAACAGAAACGATGTAGTTGTAAACAAGTCTCTTGCAGTAAGGAAATTACTTTGTGAAAAGTTGTGAAACACAACTGTAAAGAAAAAATTTGAGGGACAAGAAAGTCCAGGCATCAAAAGACAAGCAGCCTCTGTTCAAGCAGGCTTAGCAAGAGTCTGTCAGACAGGTCCTGAATGCCTTCATCACCACTGGGGCTAGCAGAAACAAAGGGAATTGATCCCTATTTGATTACTAAATAAATAAACAATAATGACAGAAAAACACATCGAGCACGTTGTTTACATCATCAGATAAAAGTTTTTCTCTTTGGGAGTTTGCTCAAAAGCTTCATGCCAACACGAATAATTAATCTTTATCTGAGATTTGAATAAAGCTTCCCAGGACAAGTCTTTTGTGTGTATAGTCATACTGTGATGCAGATGCATTTCAAGAGTAACCTTTCACATCACAGTCTTTCCAAAAAGTCAGAATGGTTAGAAGTTATAATGCTACTTTGCAAGGGTTTCTTAGCAAGGGATACATTGCTTCTTTTGACACAAATGTCTGGAAATTGACTCACCTTTCTGAAAATACTCCTTTCCATATTGCATTTTAATGTCAGAAGGAAGCTTACTCCAAATAACCTCCTTCTCTTTCATAATCTTTGCTGGATTGGATAATGGTGTTTTGAACAGTCCAGGTTGAATGCAACAAACCTTAACTCCAAAAGCTTTCATATCTCTCCTGCAAAGACAGCCCAACAATTGAATCACATTAGACATTATTATTAGTACTGTGGCATTTTTTTCTGTACTAACACTTTTATTTCTGTCTTTACATGGCAGTACACAAATACTATGAGGTTTGTTCATGATTGTGAACTTTCAGCTTGTTATCCCTAAACGAAAGAGGGATGAATCTGCTTCCCAGAGTCAGAGCATGCATGGGCAGTGACTGTGCAGTAGCTGGCATAGTGCATTTCACATCCTAGTTCACCTTGCCGTACCTCACTAGTTATCTGACTTGTCTGTAAGACTGGCTGGCTGCCTAAAGTCTAAAGGTATGTAGAACCATTTTACATGTCTTAGGGAATCCCTCTCTGCCTCTGGCTGATGCTCTAGATTGGTACAGTTCCTTCTGGCCGCATCTTTTATCTGTCAGCCCTGTCTGAGTGTCCTGGTGTATAAAATGGCACTATATATTTAGGCACACAAATTGCTCCCTGTCTGTGTTACAAGAAGAAGCCATGATGGTCCCTAGGATTAGTTTGCTATGTTCTCTAGATCTCTCTAATGATCAGTATAATTAAGAGAAGACACTTTGGAGAACAAAGCTTAAACAAAAGTTAGTATCATGCAATAACTCATGGTATGTATTTTTCCTGAATGGCCAGCTGCTGGAAGTTTCTAGGTGCACCTTGCAATTAGCAGAATTAGGTTCATATTGCAAAGACATCTCAGTTCCCTTGAGTGGAGCTTCCTTTGCCATAAGGCCTCTGTGCACACTAAGATAAGTTGATTGTGAATCTATAAGAGTACCAATCAACTACACTGCAGTAATACTTGAGTAATACTTGGGCTTGTGGGCCCTAAAGGCTTTGTACCATTTCAAAACTGGCATAATCTATGTTGAACAAAATTAGTCTGAAGTGTCTAACATTTTTCAAATTTATACCAAGTACCAGGATTGTAAATCAGCTCCTATTCTGCATGTGTCAGTTTTTAGTTAGTATATGAGCCTTAGGAAAAAAAAAAGAGTGGTCTTTCCTCATAGTAGGTGTTATACCTTAAGCTGTCATTAAATCCTTCTAGCCCAAACTTTGAAGGAAAATAGCCTCCACTGCTGAATGCTAGGCGACCTCCAACACTGGATACATTTACTATCCTTCCCTTTGCTTTTTTTACCAAGGGAAGCATGTTTATTGTAACATTTATGAGTCCAATTAAATTAACTTCAATTGGTTCTCTAAAGTGCTCAATATCCAACCAGTCTGTAGGAGCTATTGGTCCCATAATCCCAGCATTATTGACAAGTCCCCAGAGACCTGCAGGGAAAAAAAGAAGAAGAAAGTCAGGAAGCAAATTTTCACCTAATGTGTCAGATTAATTGAACTGGGTGAGACTTCACAGAAAATCAGTGAGGCACCAAGGCGGCAATGAAGATTTGGAGGAATTGCTTGAGAATGTCCTGCAGTGTTCAGCTTTATTCTCAGCATCCAAATTTTATCACCACGCTTTCCATCACCCTTTGTGTCGTCTTCCTCCTGCCACAGCATTTTGGGCAGGGGGTGGTGCTGGCTTTTTGTGGGAGAAAAAGCAGTAAAGGAAGACCAGGTATGGCAAAGACCAATTCTGTTGGGTGACAGGAAATGTGTATGAAATAGACCTGGTCCTTGCTACAGGTAGAGTGCCCTGAGACACAGGTAAGTATGCCCTGGTTCTGAGATATGAGTGAGGTGCCAGGACAGTAAAGAAGAGCTCTTGATAACCAAAAAAATGAAAATCCTTCTCAAAGGTTTGAAAACAAGTTGGGACCTGTGTGACAGAGAAGGCTTTTGCTATTCTTTTTACCCCCACTGACACTTTCATTGTAGCAGAGAACTTATGCCTCACATTGACTGACATGCCCCAAATGGACATAGGAAGAAATTTTTTTAAATGAACAGCTAGCTCCAAAAAATGAGGTGGAGGCAGGGAAAAACCACTAGATTTATTTGAAAAACATTTCTGAGCCCTCAGAAGTGGGAGGGGAAAATATAAAAATGTAAAACCAGGTCTCTTGTGTCAGCTGTCAGAGCTGTGTATGAATACTTTTGCTGGTCTGAGCTTACTCATGGTTTTTCTTGGGGAAAAAATCACTTTTGGCCTGAAACCAAGCACAGTTTCAAATAAAAGCAGTTTGGCAAGTTATAAGCAATTTTATGAAGAGATGAAAGGTCAAATGGAGATTGGAATTTAGCATTAAGTATAATTGGTATGATGGCACATCATAATAGATCAGATTTAGGACTCAGTGTTAGCAGAATCTAGCCCGTAGGATCTTGGGCCTTTGTAAACTCTCCTGCAATACCACTCCTACTGAAATCAGTTAGCATCAGTAACAGTAGCAGCATCTTGTCTTGCACAAGTTGTTGGGTCAGAGATATGGGATTTTTCTATTTTTCAGATGGTCTGAAAGCAATATCCCAAAATAGTTATGTTCAGATTTATTCATTAGAGTTCATATGTAATTTTTGCTTCTGATAGAACGAGTGATTACTTGCAAGTCACTTATTACATGTATTCAATTTTTAAAATAAAAACTCTTTAAGCTTGTTAAGTGGAATTTATTTAATTTGTTCCCTAGCTGGGTAACACAGGATGGGAGGTGCTGAGCGCTCATGCCATAACCCAGATAGGCATGTGAGCGCAAACAGTCCCAACGAAGGTTCCAGGAACTGGATTCCTGTTCTGACAATGATGTATCGATAAGCCTGACTTTTTGAGCACATTCCCAAATATTTACCTACCACTAACTAGATGTATAAAACATCCCTCTAGTGAGATCTTCTTCCATGTTTCTAGAAGGCGACAAGACATCCACACACACTTGTCAAATGTCAATTAAAATAAGTCGTAAATGTAGCATGGTATTTTTAGGAAAACTCTACTGCTTTTTTTTGAAAGATGGATACCGTGGCACTCACCTTCTGACTGAACTTCAGCTTTGACCCATGCAGCCACTTTCTTAACTCTGTCTGAATCTCTCACATCTAGCAGCACTGTCTGAAGCTGCTTTGAGGTCACAGCTTTTAACTCTTTGGCTCCTGTTTCAGTCAGACAGCTGGCAAAAACACGGAATCCCTTTTTATCAAAAATCTTTGCTGCCATATTTCCAAATCCTGTGTCACATCCAGTGATGAATATATATTTTCCAGTGAGATTTGTAACCTGCTTCCTGTCTCTTGCCCTCCAATGCCACCACAGAGAGATGATGCCAAGAAAGAGTAATATGTAGAAAAGCATTTTTTACTGAAGTCTTCTGGACACGTTCTCCTGGAAAAAAAAAACAAAAACAAAACCTGGTTTTTAAGGGATTGTTAGTTGGTTGGGTTTTTTTCTTTTTTTCTTCAGTTGGGTAACTGTAACTATTCAGAGAAGCAGGAACAATTCATGGCAGTGGCCTCCTTGTGCTAAAAAAAACAAACAAAAAATTCTTCCTTGAGCAGAAATGAGAACTGGAGGTATATTGTAATAAGCTTACAAAGAATAATGCGTATTAGGTTACTGCCATCAGGCCAGTAAGCTCCCATTGAACATGTCTGGGAGAAACACTGACTAGCAAAGAGTAGCAAAAATGAAATATTTGCATAGAAACCAACAGAAATATCTGAACATAGTGTCAGTTCATAGAAAATTAAAGAGTGAGACTGGGGCCAGCTGGCAATAAAAGGTCAAGCAAGATCAGTAGGACCTTTCTCTGTACTGTGGATACTTAAGCAATGCTAGCCAGGAAAAATTATTTACGTTATTTTACTGCAACCTTTGATTTTCAGTACTGGACTCTCAAGAAAGAGGGTAGCAAGTGCTGCCACTTTGCCTCTCAAGAAATAAACTCCCACCAGCTAGGCTGTGGGGCCTGAGCATAGGAAGGAGGGAGCAGGTGGGAGCATTTCACCTGCCGGAATGAGGCTCAGGCAGTGTGAAAACATCAATACTGCAAAATATGTTTGGGAAAAGCCTGCGTATCTGGGATTGTATTCCAATTGACTTAATAGCGAATCTCTAAGTAACTATTGACAATGGATGAAATTGTGCTTAGAGAAAACAATTCAGTTATACTTCTTCTTGAGTGCTCGTGGTGCAGAGAACAGGAGATGCCTAATGCAATCAACTAAAAATATAACTCCAAATAGACATAAAGCATTGCAAGATGCAATGAAGTTGCATTTACTATGGCCAGATTCTCCTCTGGCAAAACTTAAATAAAAAAGGAAATTGCAAACACCTGACATGTTTTTGAGCATCATTATAGGAACAGGAACACTGCTTTTATTTTCTGTATGTAGAACTGCTTTCTGCTCTGACATGGGAGGTTCAATATATCTCCATTTTTATTGCAAGCCCCGTGGCTGCCCATGGTTCTTGTTTACATAAATATGTATGCTGGTGAAATGCAGCTTTTTGCACTGGTTGGAAGTTATGCAGGGTGTTGCAAAAGTGGCAATGCAGAGATGCTTGGTTTTATTGCTTAACTTCCTCTGCAGCATCAGTACTGAAGAAAGTATGAAGAAGTGATTAGGTAAGTGCCTTCCCTGTGTAGTGTTTCAAAATTCCTTCAAGACAAGGAAATTTTTCTCTTGGCATAGGAATGCATGCATAGCAGATGGAGCACAGCAGTTGGCTTTCCTTCTCTTGCAACCCTTATTAAAATTACCATTCTCTTTATAATAGCCCTTGCTCTGCTTGGAGTTGCCTTATTCCTCTGCAGCCTTTCTTTGCCTGCAGCTCACCAGCAGCCTGGGCAGTCCCTGGCTGTTACCGATCAGAGGCAGGGCCAGGCTTGCTCCGGGAGGCTGTGTGGAGCCCTGCAGTCCTTGGCACGGAGGCACTGTTTCCCTGCCACTCCTGCCCTCCTACCCCTACCTGCCCCTGGCCCTCAGCCATGATGGGTAGCTGCACCTTGTGCATGCTAAAGCCTGTGCAGGATCCAGCCACGACAGCAAACCGGGGGGCCCAGGGACACAGAAGATTTGAGAAGAGCCCCTCTAGAGAAGGAGACAAGTGTGCTTCATCACACCCTACGTCGACTATAAAGTAGAGAGGTTGCAGTTTCAGTATAGCATATTTTTGTGACCAAGAAATGCATATACCATGACTTAGTGTCTCTGATCATGATTTAGACCATGGGAGATGAAATAAGTTTGTTTCTTTCTTTGTGCTAGTCTCCTATTAGCACAAGGTATCTGCTTGTGGCAGTATCTGCTCCCAGCAATCACTGACTTGGGCTTTTTACTTTCCACAACAAGAGAAAATCACATTCACAGAAATGTCCCCATTGTGCCCAGAGGTACTTCACTTATTTCTCTTTAAGGAAAGTATCTGCTATTCCGCATTTCAGTATGAAGAAATGTAGTTTGATTGCAAAAAAGGGGAAACTGACTTCTTATCAACAAACAGCTTTTTGCTTGCAGCAAAAATGATAAAACCCCAGCCATCAGAAGAGGAAGTCTTGGTCTTAGGTGCAAAAAGGAGATTTCTGTGTAGAACACTTATAAAGAGCTTTGAAAAGGAAAGTAACTTATTCAAAAGTCATGCTGTGTTGAAGGAAATAATGTACATATGCACCTCATGGGATTGACATAATTCCATTTTTAACAGCATAAATCACAAATCAGTAAGCTCAGTGCAAGATTCACTGCCTTGTACAAAGTAAATACTAAGTCATGTTTGTATAACTGCTGTAGTGCCAAGAAAAGAATGAAGACACAGCATGTGGGTACTTGCCAACCTGACCGACTGTGTGTTCATGCTGAGCTTTCCTGCTGCTTCTCACTCCTCCAGTCTCTGCTCTGATCAGAGTCCCATGGAGGAGCTTGTTCTCTTCCAGCCCAATTTTGTTGGTTTTGTCTTCTAGATATCTTTATTACTATGATAATTTATTTTTAGGTGAATCTCATAAACAGTATTGAACAAGTGGCACTCCAAGAACAGATGTGGAAGTCACCTGCCTAATAATTCAAGCTGCAAACTGTATCTACTTTATTTCAAATGTCCCTTACCTTAAATCAGGGTACCAGAAGAGGGCTGTAACTTTTATTTAGAGTTCACTTTACTTTCACCTTCATACTATTTAGTGAAAAAATTGCGATAGCATGTAGAGCAAAATAACAAAAATAACAGAATATATTTTCAAGAACCAGGATAAATAAAGAAGCGAATAAAGTGTTCTCTTTTCTTTTTCAAACGATCAGAGGACGGGAAGATAAAGCACTACGCAGAAGCAGAAGTGTACTACAGTATTGAGATCTGCCTTACACTTCTGACACTCTGAGGTGCTATCACTGTACGTGGCACAATTAAGATGGGGATTATACTCAAGTGAAAAATCTGGTGTCTGGCTTCTTAGCCTGGGAACAACTATATGCTAGCTACATAAGTAAATTTGGCTATGAATGGTTAAAAATAAATTAATGAAGCATAAGAGCTGTCTGCTCAATGCCTTCTGTCAGGCAAGAGAGTCCAGACTGCTGTACTTGCATACAGACTTTAGCACAAAACACAGAAACAAGCTGCTCATCTGGAGTCTCAGCCTGCAGTGCCAGACTGAGTCTATTCACCTGGTGGAAAACGGTGGCCACCTACTCCTCCGCAGCCATGAGCACTCAGTGCTAAATTTCTGGCTATCTTTAGGAAGCTTTGGAAGCATTTTATTTGATTGCTATTACTACCTGTTGTCAAAACTGGAATAAAGATCAGTAGGTTAGAGACTACAGCTTAGAGCTGAGGAATTCTGTGCCAAAAGAGCACATGGGCTTTCATTCCTTACTGAGAAATTATCTGTACTAAGACAACTAAGATTCAGTTTTATTCACTTCCTCTTACAAACTGTTGGGAAAAATCCAGAGAAGAGAGGATAACTTCATCTGCTGTGGTAACATGCTGGAATAATCAGCTATTCAAATTGAGGGAAGAAGCAGTTATTTTACTGTGTTTGGCTCAATGAATTGTGATCTTTTTCTTCCTGTGCAAAGAGGTATTAAAATGATGTGAACTGTAAGCAGAATGTTTCCCTTCAACTCGGACCATGACTGAGGGGAATTATCCTGACATTATTGATCATGTTTCATGAACCAAATGGTATCTATAACCTGCCAAAATCCAGAGATTTTACATGTGTCCCCTACGAGAATTCAGGGATGGGAACATCTGTCCTCAGTCTCCTCGATTAACTGAAGTCCAGCTCTCTATTATTTTAGTTCAGTGTGTGACAGTCGGTCCGAAGTTGGCCCAAAAAGAACAGTAATATCTCAACATCGTCAGTGGAAACTTGGAGATGATATGCCAACATCCGAAAAGGGGGGGATTGAAAAGGAGTTGCAAAAGCATGCACTTCATGATTTCTAAATAATTAGTGAAATAGATACCAAAAGACCTTTCAGATAGAGAAAGAATGCTAAAGCAAGTTGTGGGGGGCCAGGAGAGTCCTACCCGACCTGTAGGATTTTTCTCCCGCGGCTTTAAGGATGTCGAGAGAAGATACACTGTTTGGGAGAAAGGTTTATTTGTGGCTAGCCTGGCTCTCATAGAAATAGAGAAAATCACTCGACAACAACCAATCGTACTAAGAGGCCCATTTAAAGTTATAAAAGCAGTCACTGCTGGGACCCGTCCAGCTGACGAGGTGGCCCAGAAAGCCTCGGTACGAAAGT